CAGGATCGGGCAGTGTTTTATTCTGCTGTGCATGGGGTTGCTATGAGTCGGAAATGACTCGACGGCACTTAACAACAACAACAAGTTTTCCTGGGTCACTCACTGTCAGTGACTGTGCAGCTACATGACCTTCAGAGCAAGTGAAGTTCCCCTGCAATCAGCTGAGTGAGAGTTCTCTGTGGGGTGACAGCCTTGAGAACCCTGCATCCACTTGCTGAGCCGAAATAGTCCTCATGTGCTCTGACCCTTCACTCTTGACTTCCTAGGTTCTACCTCAGTTGCATGGGTTTCCCAGAGTGCCGGTCAGCCATGTGGTTTCCTGACTTTGTCCTAGAAGCCAGCAGGGATGAGAGTGTGTGTCCAGTCTGTCAGCCACAACCTGTTTACAGGTGAGCAAGCTTCCAGGTATGCTACAGGCCAATCTTGCTCCTGTCAGAGCAGAGGGAGATGCCCAGGGAACTGTTAACTCTGAGCCACTTCAGGGTTCTTAACCCTGTTTACCTGAGTGGGCATCTAATCCTGGCTTCCTCTTCTGTCATAAAATGGAAGAAAATGCCCAGAGAGCTGTTGATTGTAGGCACCTTGTTCTGCTGTGCCCAACTTCCCCTCACTGACCACACAGGGGCAAAACCAGACTGGTTGGGCAGGACATGGCCCTCCACACGTGACTGAACCTAGGAGGTTACTTTAACTGTTCTCTCCACATGGGCCATTGCTATATCAGGCTTGAAAATGTCATTTGTTTTGGTCACGAGACCCCTTTGCATTCTTAAAAATATCATTGAGAAACCCAAGGGGCTTTATATTTATTGATTTATGTTTGTGATTTGGGTGAAAATTTACAGAGGAAATTCACATTCCATACAGCAGTTCACATAAACTTTGTCTCATGACATTGACCACCATTCACCACAATGCAGCAGCTCCCCTCCCACTTCCTCCCGAGGGTCACCTCTTCCCTGTGTCCATCCCTCCATGCACCCCTGCCCCCTGACCTGTCTCCTTGTGCATAAACAGCCCTTATTTCTCCCATGATTGTTCTCTCCAAGGAGTGTATCTCCCTCAGGTAAATGTTCACCTTTTATGCCTGTCTTTTGTTTGGCTGGAAGCCATAAGTGTGGGTTCAGTTCCAGACCTGAAGGGCAGCTAAGGGCCATAGTCTTAGTGATTCCACCAGGCTCTGTCAGACCAGCAGACCTGGTCCCACTTTTTTTTTTTCCCTAGTTGTTGAGTTTTGTACCACATTGTTCTTCCTCTATCCAGGATCTCCTACCTAGATCCCCCTCTGAGTGGGTGACATTGGTAGCCGGGCACCATCTAGTAATTCTGGTCTCATAGTAGTATAGGCTGCAGATTGGATGGTGTACCAGTCTCTGGGGCTGATTGTTTCCATGAATCTTTGGTTTTCTTCATTATTCTTTGCTCTGGATGAGGAGAGACCCATCGTTGCATCTAGACAGCTGCTTGCAAACTTTTAAGATCCCAGTTGCTACTCACCAAAGTAGGAGGTGGAGTAATGTTTTGTGTGGTATGTTATGTCAATTGAGCTTGATGTCCCCTGCGACTGTGGTCCCGAGCTCACAGGTTCAACTACTCGCTCCCTATTGGTAGCTGGCTGTAACCAAGTGGTGACTACAACCTGTCCCTTGCCAGCTCTACTATATACCTGGGAATTCTTACAAAACCTACCAATACACTGGTAGAAACATTGTGTGCCAACCCTATACATGGTCTTGGGTACACTCCCCGCTTCAGGCATACCTACTAGTTCACCCTGTCCACCCATCTATCACCCATATACCCATGTTTGCCTTCACTGACAACACAGTACTGTATGTGCAAAAGGGTTCATCTTTGTTGTCTGTACCTCCCATGTACTTCTCTATGTATTCCTCTTCCTCGGTGCCACCATGTTGATCACTCACATTTGGTACATTGCCCTTCTTTTCACACAACTCAATACTTATCTCTCCCTATTTCACAGTGTGCCCTACCCTACCCTCCCGCACCTGGTAACCAACAAAGAAAATTTCCTTCCGTCTTATAATAAACCTTTCCTTGACTTTTACAATAATGGATTAATAGAATATTTGTCCTTCTGTGATTGACTTATTTCACTCAGCATAATGTCCTCCAGATTCATCAACGTTATGCAGTGTTTTGCAGATTCTATATTATTCTTTAGGGTTGCATGTTATTCCATTGTGGGTACTTACCAAAGTTTGGTTATCCATTCCTCAGCTGATGGACACCTAGGTTGTTTCCATCTTTTGGCTATTGTAAATAGAACATGGGTGTGCATATGTCTGTCCTTGTCATGGCTTTCACTTCTTTTGGATACATCCCTAGTAATGGAATGACTAGGTCAAATGGTATTTTATTTCCAACTTTTGAAGGAATTGCCATATTGCTTTACACAATGGTTGTACCATTTTACAGTCGCGCCAGCAGTGTGAGAGTCCCAAACTATCCACATCCTCGCCAGCATTTGTTATTTTCTGTCTTGTTGACCTTTGCTACTAGTGCTGGAGCAAGATGGTATCTCATTGTTCTTTTAATTTGCATCTCTCTAATGGCTAATGATCATGAGAATTTCTTCATATGTTTGTTGGCTGCCTGAGTGTCCTCTTTGGTGAAGTGTCTATTCATGTCTTCTTCCTCTTTTTTAATTGGATTATTTTTTTGTTATTGAGGTGTTGGAGTTTTCTATAAATTCTGGAGACAAGTCCCTTGTCAGATATGTCATTACCACGTATTTTTTCCCAATCTGTAGGTTCTCTTTTGACTCTTTTGGAAAGTCTTTGGAAGCACATAAAAAGAAGATCCCATTCATCTCATTTCTCTTCTGCTGTTGTGCATTTTGGGTTATGCTTGATAGTCTATTTATGCCATATATTAGGGCCCCTAAATTTGCCCCTAGTTTTTCTTTGAGGAACTCTATAGTTTAAGGTTTCACATTTAAGTCTTTGATCCATCTGGAGTTAGTTTGTATGTATGATGTGAGGCACAGATGGTGTTTCATTTTTCTGCAAATGGATCTCCAGTTTTGCCAGCACCATTTATTAAACAAACATTCTCTTCCCTATCTAATGTATTTCGGCCCTTTGTCAAAGATCAGCTGACCGTAGGTCGATGGATCTGTTCCTGGGTTCTCCATTCTATTCCATTGGTTTATGTGTCTGTCATTATACCAGTACCAGATAGTTTTGACTACTATAACTATATAGTAGGTTTTGGGATCCGACAGTGAGACCTCCTACTTTGTTTTTCTTCTTCAGTAGTGTTTTGCTTACCCAGTATCTCTTTCTTTTTGATGTAAAGTTAGTCATTGGTTTTTCCATATCCTTAAAAACTGTTGATGGAATCTGGATTGTGATTGCATTGAATGTATAGATTGCTTTGGATAGAATTAACATTTTATTTCACAATGTTCAGTCTTCCTATCCATGAGCATGGGATGTTCTTCCATTTATGTAGATTTCTTATGGTTTCTTGAAGTAGTTTTTTACAGTTTTCTTTGTACAGGTCTTTTGTGTCCCTGGTAAGATTTATTCCCAAGTATTTTATTTTTTTGG